TTCTCATTTAAGCAACAGTTATTTTGGTCTTTGTTATGGCAACTGAGGCTTTGTCCTTAATGATACAGGAAGGACTAAGCACATGCTAAGGAAAAAGAAGTGAAGAAATTAACATAAACTCTTCTTTTAAGAAGTCAAAAGGAAAAGGAAAGCGAGAGAGAACAATAGTTTCCACAGGAAAGGGACTCAAAAGAGGTGTTTTACTTTTTTAAAAAAAATCAATGATTTTACCATTCTTACCATTTTAAAGTCTACCATCTCCTCTCCTTATTCATAGCATAGTTTTAATTTTGCAGAAGTAATTTTAAATTTACTGCTTGGGAAATAAGCAGGTTTTATTTTTTGTGATTATGATAATTCTGTTTATTAGTTAGCTCTTTGGGACATTTACTGTTTGTGGATTTGTACAGAGCTGCCTTCAAATGTGACTTGGGGAAATTCAAAGTTTTGCCAGTCAACTAGAGGGTGATTTGTATTATTAAAGGAGTCCCTTGAAATACGAAGCTTCTGAGCAGTTAAGTATACACAAACCATTTAACCACATAAGAGAGGGCCAGGGAAGGGAACATTAACTTGTGAGAAGTTACTGTAATGATCATGTTTGCATGTCAGCAGGACAGCAGATTTCAATAAATAAAAATGTTAGTTCATGGAATTTTTTCCAGGAATAACTTTCTCATCTGAAGAGAAGAATTCCTGTATCGTCTACACTGCAATCAATTGGCCCTTTGTGGGCTGAGTGATGGTCTCTCTAAGTCCCCAACTCCTGCTCCTAAAGTGACCTGAGCAACAGGGAGCTCTGAGAACAGCTTTTGGGGTAACCCCACAGCAGCTCTGAACCATCTGCTGTCAAGGGAATGGCAGTTACATAATTAACCATAATAGCTGCAAATGATATAGTTACAACAAAAACCCTGTTGGTATTTAGCTGAACTAAAAAAAAACAATGGTGTAAATTATAGCTATGTGTATAATAAAATTTCTTATTTGCATTTCACATAAAATTCACCAACCTCCTTATTCACTCATTACTCACCCATTATGGGTTTTTTAAATGGCACTTTGAAAGTTTGCTTTGGCTCGGGGTGAATTATTTGCCAAGACTTTATTCCTGGAGTCATGGCTCCTCCGGGACTTCTTTACCTTTTGGCAAATTCATAGCTCATTTTGTGGGTGGTAGCGGTTTGTGGCCACTATGTATGCATGTGTGGTCATATGTGGGGAGTAGTCTTAGGATATCCTAAATAGTGGGACATTTCATAAGGAAGAGTCTTATATCCCAGAGTAATTAAACAGAAAAAAGAAAAAGCAGAAAATGAGTAAAGCATAGTAATAAACATAGCAGCAACAATTAGGTTCCTTCCAATTATGCATGTGTTTGAATAATCGGCTGACTTAATAGGTGGAAGAGATGTGCATTACAAATATCTAGGGAATGTTTGCATATCAAGAGGCACAAATACAAAAGTGCATGAGAAGGTGCAATTGAGGCAAAGCTGTTTCTGAGAATAAAAATCGCGATAAACTTTAAAAAGCCGTAAGCGCAATGTTGGATACAGATGAGCAGAGGAAAGGAGTGTTTTTTTTTGCATGTACACTTTCATTTAAAAATGTGGTCTTTAGGACCAACATCAGTATTTTAGGGGAAGAACTGGGGGCATAAGACAAGGTAGCTGTAGACATTCACCAATTCCAAGAGGGCAAGGAAAATTCTCCCTCCCCAAACCTCTGCAAGATGTTGGCTTGAAATATCTTCCCTAATGAGTTCAAGACTAAAGGTAAAGAGTATTTCAGAAATGAAACACAGTTTATGGAATATTAGGAAAATATTAGTTTCTAGATTTATAGAGATTTCAAGCTAGAAGAGATCATCGTGTACTTTTAGTTGCTGCTTCCTCCCAACCTATACACTTTACAGATGTGATATGTCATTGGGTCCCCCAAGAAATAATAAATGACCAAAATAATGGCGTAAGAACGCTGGTTTCTAACTCTCTATCTAGAGGTCTGTTTCACACCACTGAGCACACACTGCCTGTACTTATAAGGGGTAAGGGAAGGGCCTGGTACATTTCACTGGAGGATGAGTTCCAAGATTAGGGGCTGCATGAGAACTGGGCGGGTGACAGAAGGAAGATCTAGGGTTGGTGCATTATGCATTTGTGCCTGGACACAGCCTTTTTCTATTTTGCCTAATATTGGCTTAACTGACAAGGAAAGCTTAATGCCATCAATATACCATCATAAAGTAGCTTGCTCTTCTCCTGGGTATAGTTAATCTGCAGGTAAACCGTAGCGCTCACAAGGCACAAGAACAATGGGCGCTTTTATAGTCATTTGTGTGCTTAGAGGTTGTCCTGGGTCCCACAACGGACAGTTGCTACCCTAACATGGAGCCGCATCAATGCAACTGTGCATTAGGCTAATGAATGTGTTTTCCTGGAAACCATACTAAGCAGAGAAAGAAGTAAAGAATCTCTACCACCTGAAATTGACCTCAAATGGCTCAAAGTAGTTTCAACACTTCCATTCCATTTAGAGGTGATTCTGTCCCTTTAAAAACACTATTATTGATCCTTCATTTCCCCCATTATCTGGGGTTTTAGTTGGGTTTCAAATAGATCTAAAAATCAAGTGGGTGCAATTTCTCCTGATGCGATCCGAACCATTGTTTTCTTTTTCCTCATACATACAAGCCATCCGGTTTTTATTTGAATTATTTTTCTTTTGAGGATGACTTTGTACTATGTTATGTTACCTTGTGACATTTAGTGTTGTTGGGATTTATTGGATTTCTGGGAATAGTGTAATAAAAAATGATAATATCAAACATCATTAATTAGGTGTCAAACAAAGTAATCATATTGTTTCTTATTTTAATTACAATAGAATTCAAGTTGATTTGCTTATTTTACCAGAGTAATATGTGGTTCCAAACTGTTTAAAATCTAAAGTCTTTAGCAGACAGAGGACAATTATAAAAAAATCCGCACCTCACAAGAAAACCAGGGTTATTAATCAATTTGTTTAACTGGCTGAGCAGTAATAAACATAATGTGCTAACATCTCTCAGCAAATAGATTTTTGTAAACAAGCTGCTTCCAAAAATATTTTATGAGGCATCGTTAACATTCGGAGATGCTGCTGTTTAGGCTGGAAACCTCGGTGATCCATCTCGCACAGCGCGGCTGGAATGAAGAGACCCCTGGAATCGCTCAGTGAGAACTGGAGAGGGGCCTGGGAAGTCATGACCCTTGGAAGGTGTTGGTTTACAGAGTGTGAAGTGGGCAATTCACCAGCTGCACCCAGGAAGCGGTGCTGCAAATGCCTGCGGCTAGGAGTCAGAGGACACGTCACGTTTAAGGACGCCAGCCACCACCCCTGCAGACCCACAATTTATCGGGTCTAACTTCAGTGACGGGAAAAAACTTCTTAATTTAGAATACACTTGGCGTATTTTAACTGAAGATTATTATAACGTAAAGCAATCAATTACCCTCTCAGTTGTTTTTGGTTTTTGGAGCATTTTAGGGCTCCTTCCTCAAGGGCAAATTCAGTAAGGACGATGCTCAACATGTGAGGCGCAAAATCTTAAGCAAAGGCCATACATTCAGAGCCCACTGCTGGTTTCCTGGCTGTCAGGTGTGGACGTGGGGAGGGAGAGGAGCTTGGCGCTACCACTTTCCTATGAAGCTGACGAGACAGAATTTATTCCTTGGAAGCTGAAAGGGTTAAATAAGCAGCTGCAGGGCAAGAGCAAATGAGGTAGGTGTCAAGGTTTTTAGAATTTTTTTTCATGTTATTATCAATGATCTTTTTCTTTAAAATGTCACTTAACTATTTCTCTGCTTCCGCTTCTCCTTATAATGGATGCACTAATGTTAATTCCCATGTTCCCAAAGAGGCAATGGTGGGAAGATATGTTGATAAACATGTTTGAAGCTCTTTGACTTCCTTAGAAAGAAAGCAGTCTTTTGAAAAAAGAAAATATTTAGATACTCAGCAACACTGGGTCAAAATTCTCTAACTTTTGATCACTTTTAAAAATAGCTTTTTAAGGTGAAATATATTAGTGTATTGTGTGTGCATGTAGATATATTATGCATATGCTTTTTCTCTGATTACAAAGTAAAGAACAAAAGCACTGAACGTAGGAATTTTAGGTCTCAATTTTAGTGAGATATGGATGCTTTAGTTAAATGAATCATTTCCCTTAATTTGTAGACTTTTTTTTGTCTCCTTCCGCTCTACTTTGAGTGACACTCTTACGCATCTGTTCTGCAGGGGTAGTAGCAAGACCTGTTTGAAGTTTAAATCCGTGACACCCTCTGTAGAACAGTGGCAACCTGATCAAAACAGTGATCAAGCAGAAATGCTCTTTCTCAGAATGAACACACACATACGCGCACACACACACCTCCCTGCATTCAGAGCCGAGGTTTTCCTTCTACCCCCAACTAATAAAATCAGGAGGCTGCAATGAGGCTGAGCGGCAGGCAGTTTGATGTCCTCAGCAGGATACGGGGAGTCAGAAGTGGCGCTGTAAATCCAGAGTGGGGCTTCAACACTGTGTTAAGTGTGGCCCGAGTCTCAGAGATTTCCCTTTGAAGCAAGTTCAGTATATTAATGGGAAAAGCATTCACTTTTATTTGTCTGTACTGTCTGCGACAGCAAGGCTGCCTCATTTAGCCTGGGCCAGCATGAAAATACGCAGAGAAGCAATCTGTTGCAAATTAGCACAGCTCCCCTTTCATTTACTAGCTAGTAATTGGAAGGGGTTAAGAAAGTGTAACTTATCGGACCACGTGAGGGTATCTGCTTGTGCGGACAGCAAGCCTCCCCCGAATTGCCCTAGGAGCCCTGAGGCAATAATCCTTCCTCATGGCCACTTGGCCTGAAAGACAACACTGACGCGTGTGAAATGTGTGCGCTTTGCTAGGTCTGAGGAGGCAGTTTCCTGGACTCCCCAAGGGGGTATTTGTGACTCTGTCGGAACTTACCTTTCTTTAGATATGTTTTTACTTTCCCGTTTCCAAATCGTCTTGAAGTCACTGCAGAACTCGTACCACACCATAAACACGTAGTTTGGAGTGATCTCTTTCTCACCAGACTTTGGCTTCATCCCAAAATATCCCACTGTCGTTTCAAAACTGCAACAGGCAGGAGAGGAAAACAGAGTGAGGGAGAGGGTGAGGAACTGTCAACACTCTCTGTCTCCATTACTGTGGTTTATCCTAAACCCCAGAAAACCCATTTGCTCAAATCCACTTTCCAAGAAATTCAATTTGACTGGGGATACTCCTCGTCATATCTTATCCATGTAAAATCCAGCATGTGTAAGTCTGGGGGGGTATACAGGTAAAACTTTTTGAGTTTGTTCTTCATCTCCAATCTATGTCATGTACCTGCTCTTCACTTGAAGTTTAATGATGACGGGGAACACTGCTGGCATATTGACTCTGTGGCATGAAGCAGTGGTCAGTTAGAGAGCCCAGTGGGAATAATTACTCCGTTGAGTGTTTCATGGAAAATCAAGACTGTTCTCTCCTATTCTGGTACCCTCTGGCGTTGTAACCTGGGGCCGATCACTCAGCATCAGACTCAATTTTCTCAAGGGTAAAATAAGGGACTGAACCTCTATGATCTTTAAGAAGGCTACATTTTTAAAGCTTTATATGGTACAAGAATATAGACCACCAAATGCACAAAAGTATATGTACAGTTGAGGGAATAGTAAGGTTTGGATGGAAAATCATCTTTGATGTTAATAAATGATCTCCAATCTGGACCTGGTTTTGCAAAGTAGATTCCCAGATATCACTAAGAGCCTCCTGACCTACCCCATGGACTCTCACACCAGACTAGCCGGGCCTCCCAAGCAGCCCTTCTTGGAGGCACTAGCTTTGCAGCAATTTATAGTTCTGCACTCAATCTTTCTACCCAGCCGCCCTCACCCACCCCAAGCCTCACAAGCTCATTTGCCATGAGCAAGAACACTTAAATAAATGGCTCCCTTTTCCAGGGTGTTGGAAACTAATCAAAGCAGGAAAAATGGCCAGGTTTATGGCTACTCAATGCTCTATCATCTGTTCAGACACAGCATTTTTTTGTGGCCATCCTGAATACTGAGTTCCTAATAGAACTCTATTCAATGGCGATTGTAAAACCCCGAAGCCCCGTTACTAGTACGGAGCATACTTTCATCTCGTTCTCAGTTATTGGCCAATATGTATCTCATAAGATTTTACCACAGTTCACAGATGAACTGTTAATTGATTCCATGGCAATGATTAGGCGAGATCCAAGCTGGGGCTGCAGCTCTGAGTCCCATAAATTCTTTGTGCTTCTGTAAATAATAAATCTGTTTTTAATGCAAATTAGAACTACTGGTCAGGGAATTTTGGCTCCCAGTTATTAAAAGACTGGAAGTGTATAAGTGGAGAAAGGCAACAACTGCAGTAATTTCTTAAGGGACTCTCTTACAATACCAAACATGCATATTTTGGCGCAAAACCAGCAATGGAAGAAAGTAGCAATGTCCACGTTCACCCAGGCGGGACCCATTCTGTGGCAAGCAGAATACTGGTAACACCAAAGCACGCTCCATGGCATCTAGTTTTATTTCATTCAAAGTGAAAATTATATTAATGTAGCATGGACATGCATTGTAGAGAGTTTTGTGAACTATAGGAACCGGCCATGGTTTTCTTACAGAGTCCTGGGGCTTTCGAATTGGAAGAGACTTACATGTCAACTTGTCCAATGCTCTCATTTTACAGATGAGGAAACAAAGACCCGGAAAGACTGAATGTCCCTTTTTATTGGCAGCGTTGGGCTAATCTTCGGCCTCCTGATTGTCAGGGAAATGCTTTTTCCTCCCTCCGTCCCTGTGGCTCATGCTCGCTGACCCGGGCATTCAAGAAATACAACAGTGCCCCTCCCCCCATTTCCACTTTAGACACAGTTGCCCCTATATCTTCCATAATGTGTGTTGCCCCCAGCAAAGCAAATCATTATTTTCTTCTCTTCCAGATGCTCACCTTCTATACAGAACCATATTTCTTTGTGCACCAATAGAGAGGAGAAAGTCTTCCACGGTGAGTCTTTAGGGGAACAAATAGTCTTCCTACAGCCCAGCAGGACACAGGGAAGAGCACAGAGCCCCAGCCCTTGCTTCTCAAATCACCCCCACACCTGGAGCCTTATTGGGAGTCTCGAGTGCGAGACCAGGGCATTGCACGCACTGGTGCATTTGCAGAGAATGGCAGCTCTATTTGGGGGCTATGGCAGAGCTTGAGGAAAGCACGCATCATCCTGTGGCCTCGCTTTCCCCGCCCGACTTTGAACTGAAGCTAACCATGTACCTCCCCCTCTCCCCTGGGAGCTGTGAGGTCCTGCTTACTCACCCTGAGAGGGGGCGAAAACTAAAGGAAAGGCAGAACTTGAGCATTTCCCTGCTATGTGCTTTGGGAACTAAGCAGGCAAGCGAGCCTCTTCTGAAGAACCAAAGTAAACAGAGTCGCAGAGAATGGCCTGGCCTTGGCACCACAGCTGTGATGGAGAGCAGCTGCTCCGAGATGCGCCTTGTTTGAATTCGGTGCTCTTCCTTTGCCCAAGGAAAAGGTAAAAGCTGGTCTATGAACCTGCAACTACCTGATAAAGTCTAGGCCACTGTCCTCCCAAGCAAAACTCTCTTCCTTTCAAATTCAATTTTGATTCACAGAAGACGGATGATTGAAAACCTTCCGAAATTTGGGCATGAAAATTATAGATCTTAAGCAGTCAGGAGAATTTTCTTCAAGAGACAAAGGGGCAATCAGGCTTTCTGAAACTTTTATTTGCCAGCAGATGACTCTAAATTAGCTTTCGACTTCTAAAAAGTGGATGGATTTCTGATCACGTTTCACATAACTTCTTGACTTCACTCTAAACTATTCCCTGACTCCTTTTCTCCCTGCTACAATTCCTCGTCTGATCTGTGTCTTTACAATTCAGCTAAACATTTCTAAAGTGCAGACGATGATTCTATCAAAGAGCCCGTGGCCAACTGAACGGTTTTACTTCTGCAGCGCAGAGAGGCCAGAGTGGAACACATCCACTTACTGTTTTACATGCGTGCCTTCAGAAACTGCTTAGGAAAAGCAAATATTCCTTCGCCTCAGAGTAAATTGTTTCTCTTGAGAATAAAACATGAGAATTTCCTAAATCTCACACGAATATTGCAACACTGACCACCAACCTCCTTAAAGAGGGCAACCAAACAACTGTGGTTTCTACATTAAAGATGGGATCAGACATATTTCATGTATGACATGAAAGCTAGACTACCTTCACCACAAAGTCACGGAAAACGCTGACAACCAGAATTTATGGCCCCCCTCAGCATGGCTAATGCACAGCAGCAGCTTCGGCCCCTCGGAGGTGGGCCCCTGTTCCTTACGCAAGAATCTTGAAGAAGTATTAGAAGTGACATCCACCCCAGAAACGGAATTTCTGTTTGGCCTGATACTCATGTGCCCCTAGTTGAGGGTCTCTTTTATGCATGCTGATTATTTCTGTAACACAGATGCAGTATTTTTAGACACAGAAGATGGGAAGCTTCCTGTAGGGAACATACCAATATAGGGGCACAGAAATACACACACACACACACAACCAGGTGACTGTCTTCATTGTCAAGATTATCATGTGAAGATAAAGTCATGGTTCAAGAACATGTCTGCACTTAGGAAAATGCAGGGTTTGCCATCACCTCGCTCTCATCTGCATTTTAATTTTATTGGCGAGTACAGTGGAGAGCAGGGCAGGCTGTGGGACTTGTCAAAGCACAGCAGACGCTACCGGTTCAGTCTTTCAGAGCCCCCGGGAGGAGAAGGGCTCATTTGTAGAGTTTGTTCATTTGCATTTAGTGAACTCCTCTCCTTACGTATTTGTAAAGCCCATTTTTTTCCATATGTGTGTCTTCCTGCTCTTACCTCTTATTTAATTTTCTAGTACTTTTAGAAATATACCAGCAAAATTTATCTCAACTTTCTGAGCTGAATATGAGAAAGCCTCAGTATATTCCCATTCCTCCTCTAAGAGGGAGGGGTAGCCACACTGACTAACCTGGCCAACTGATAAAAAGAAAGCCCCTCTGGGGGCCACAGCTGGTGATTATTGGCCTCTACCATCTGATGGCCATTGAGAGAGAGAAGAGCAAACAAGAGGTGTGAAGTAGGGGAGAGCTTGAATAGGAGACCTCTGAGGTCTCTGACCAATTCTGTGGGAGTTTTCCATATAGAAAACTTCTCCTGGAGATGTCCTCTAGGCTCTGAGGAAAGGCACAGTAAGCTTCTTAGGTGTTTGTAATAACTGGTTGAATCTAGTTGTAATGCTAAGAAGGATCACATTGTTCCTGACTCCCAGGAAGTGGTTCAGGAGCAGAGTGATGGAGGAGAGGCGAAGAGATGCCTCATGACATGGGAGGCAGGCGAGTCACTTCCCAATGATCTCCTGCTTTTTTTTTTTTAAATCTCTTGCTTCTTGAGGAAAAATATTCCCAAGTCCTGTCACAGTGTTTTCACTCCAGCTCTCCACAGGCTGTTATTGTTCATGGAAGCATAGTCTTAACAAATGGGGCCAAAAGAATCGTCAGTCAGTCATTATGTGGATGAAACAAGCCAGTCACAAAAGGAAAAGTACTGTATGAGTCCACTTACAGGAGGTCACTAGAGCAGTCAAAGTCACAGAGACAGATATTAGAATGGTCGTTGCCAAGGGCTGGGGGAAGGAAATGGGGAGTTAGACTTTAATGGATCCAGAGTTGCCTTTGAAGAAAATGAAAATTCAGGATATAGATGGTAGTTATGGTTGCACAGCAATGTGGAATGTACTTAATAATAATAATTAATAATAACAATAAAATGGCTAGTCAAAGAAAGAGCTGGGGCCAAGTTAGAGCTGTTTACCTTTTCTGTGCATTCTCCAGGTGACTTTCTTCCATTTTATGCTCTTTTTTGGCTGTAAAAGAGAAATAATTATGATTAAAACAGTATTTTTTCCATCATATTTTTGCATAATATTCTAACTTTGATTATACCCATTCATTATAGAAATAAGCCCAAATTCAGGGGTTGGCAGCTCCTACCACACATATTGGAAAAGGCACTAAATTCACTACATTTATCAGCACTGCATTCTTTTTCTTAAAATCCTCAACTGAGGATGTGCTTAGAGAGAGAGGGAGAGAGAGAGAGATGTGAGAGAGAAACATTGATTGGTTGCCAGCCCAGGTATGTGGCCTGAGGACCGAGAGCCTTTTGGTACATAGAACAGAGACAACACTCATGCTCAACCAACTGAGCCATTCTGGCTAGACACCATTGCTTTCTTGATAATAGCTATAGCTATCAGCAAGGGGTGTGTGTGTGTGGGGAGGGGCATTTAATTTACATTCTTACTGGGACACTTGTGAGAGTGAAGGGAGGTGGCAGTAATAATTGCACCAGGACAAAGTCATACATGGGGACAATCCTGGCCAGGTTGGAACAAGTGGTCACCTGGCTATGGTTGGCCTCTTTGTGAGCCTTGGCATGTGCTCAGCACTTCCCCTCCTCTCCCAAACATTATAAACCCAGTGCCATTTGCAGTGCTGCTCAGATTCAAACAAATTAATTGAGTCCTTGCACACACTCTCTCTACACTCACAGACCCCATTGACAATCTGGGGAGGCCTACGATTTGCTTTCTCAGAATAATGTTTTTAAATGCATTGAAAATAATACTTAAGATTATTACAGAAATCTGTGATAGTGAGATACAATTCTGAACTTAAAGATTAGGAACCCATGCTCTGACATCAATGTGTGAGAGAAACATCGATCGATTGCCTCCCATATGCGCCCTAACTGGGTATTGAACCCACAACCTAGGGATGTGTCCTGACCAGGTAATCGAACCTGCAACCTTTTGGTGTATGGGGCAATGCTCCAAGCAACTGAGTCACCCAGCTGAGACTCACCACTGATTTTAAAATGTAAATGTTATTAAGTTACTCCCATGCTTAAAATCTTCCAACAACTTGCCATCATCCTTGACATAACAGTTTAAAGTCTTCATAATGTCCCAGAAGGCCCTGCAAGTCTCCTTTCTGGCTCCTCTGTGACATTACTTTTTTTTTTTTTAAATCCTCACCTGAGGGTATTTTTCCATTGATTTTTAGAGGGAGTGGCAGAGAGAAGGAAAGACAGAGAAGAACATCAATATGAGAGAAACACATGGATTGGTTGCCTTTTGCACGTGCCCCGACCAGGGCTCGGGTCAGCAAGGAGCCTGCAACCGAGGTACGTGCCCCTGACAGGAATCAAACCCGGGACCCTTGGGTCCACAGGCCAAGGCTCTATCCACTGAGCCAAACTGGCTAGGGCTGTGACATTACCTCTTCTTTTCCATGCTCATTCCTTTCCAGGCTGGCTGGCCACCTAGCTGATGCTTGAGCACACTGAACACACGCACTTGCCTTTCCACCTCCCTGGGACAGTCTGCCCACAGTCTCTGCATGACTGGCTCTCTTACCCCAATAGGTCTCAGCCCAAATGTCACCTTCCCTCACCTCATTCAGTAAAAGATCATCCCTTGCCATGCATCCTCCCCTCCCCTACCTCCTCATGTTACCTTTCCCCCCATAGCCATCATCTACCTGCTGCACTAATTCATTTGCTCATTCGTTTATTAAACAACAACTGAATGTAAGCTGCAGGAAAGAAGCAACTTCACCTGGCTTGTTTTTTGTTGTACCTTAAACATGGAAAGTGCCTACATATTAAATCATTTATTTTAGCTTAAAAATGTATATTTTGACCCTGGCTGGTGTGGTTCAGTTGACTGGGCATCAACCTGTGCACCGAGAGGTTGCTGGTTCGATTCCTGGTCAGGGCACATGCCCGGGGTTGTGGGCTTGATCCCCAGTAGGGGGCATGCAGGAGGCAGCTGATGGATGTTCCTCTCACATGGATGTTTCTCTCTTTCCTTTCCTCTCTCAAAAATCATAAACTATTCTTTAAACAAATGTATATGTTGAATATAGGTTGCTTAAAAAGAGATATACTAGGATTCCTAAACCTAAAGCATTATATTTAGAATATTAACATAGGCTAAAGAAGGTTGTGAGGATAAAGTTGTATACTATATTCTCTAAGTCCAGTACATTTCACTTAACAAAAATTTTCATATTGACACTAGAAGCCCGGTGCATGAAATTCATGCACGGGTGGGGGGGGGGCAAGGATGTCCCTCAGCCCGGCCTGTGCCCTCTCACAGTCCAGGAGCCCTTGGGGGATGTCTGACTGATGGCTTAGGCCTGCTCCCCCCAGGGACCAGGTCTAAGTTGGCAGTTGGACATCCTTAGCTCCCACCACTGCTGCTGCGCTCACCATCTATGAGCCCGGCTTCTGGCTGAGCAGCGCTCCCCCTGTGGGAGCGCACTGACCACCAGGGGGCAGCTCCTGCATTGAGCGTCTGCTCCCTGGTGGTCAGTTCGTGTCATAGTGACCAGTCATTCTGCCATTTGGTCGATTTGCATATTAGCCTATTATTATAATGGATGATTTGGCTTTGATAACTATACCATTTTAGGTAAAGCCATAGTTATGGGAATCTTTTGTGATATCATTTCCCCCCACCCTCTAAGCAGCAATCTCTGAATTAGTATGGTTCTTCACCAATCAGATACAGAGAAGTGACCCATGTCTCTCATAGGTGACACCAAGTTAGTTCCCTCAAATGTGAAACAACCGAGTGGTTTGCTCTTATCCAGTGATTCTTAATTATGTGCCTAGTCAAACAAGAGGAAAATTCTTCCAAGGCCTGAGTGGTCTTCCTGGACACCTTTGCTGTTCTCCGTCACCAATGGTCTCTAACTGGCTGCTCCCATTCTGTGTTAAGTACACTATGGTCAAGCCATCATTGCATATACATTTAGTGACAAGAAATATGCTCCCCACTGAATTAAGCATTAGATAAGCACTTGCAATGGCTCTATGAATATGGCTATCTGTGAGGAAAATGGCATCCAAATACAAAAAGAGGTATTACTAAGAGGCAATGCATATAGTATAATCACTGAGGGTTTTGGGGAAAAGAGTTCTCAGGAAAATGGGAAGAACCTAGAGATCTCAATTTTTCCCAGGCAAAGGGTCTACGCACAGAAAGAAAGGGTGGACCCAGTCCATGGTGTGACCTGGAAGGTCTCCCAGCCTAAAATACTTCTCCTGCCACAATGTGTGGCATTCCTAACCATGCTATTATACATTTTAAAGTTTCAGACCAAACAGAAAGACATTATCTGTAAGGAAAATATTTAAAGGCTGGAGTCACATTCACAAATTCTAATACCTCCAACAAATAGGGCAACTATAGGCCAAGTGCAATATGCTGATATTCTAAAATTTGACCCCTCGCTTCTCAATATTGGATCTGACACAGTCTCAGTCTAGGGAAGCCAGAGGGAGTGGTAGGGACATGGGAAGGCCATGCCCCATTCAAGGGAGGAAAGGTACTTGCCAGTGTGACCAGATCTCCTATCTTTTTCAGGGAAGCTAATATTTTTAAATGAATGTTCTCAACTTAGAAAAAAAAAGTTTCAAGCACTCGGCAGGACAAAGAGTACATTACTGTTGGCCATATCTCACCCTGTAAGTCCTCACTTAAGCCTTGAGTAGCTACTGATCTATGGCATAGGTGGGTGTGTTCTTTCTTCTGTGTGCCAGATGGGTGCTTGGATTCCCCCACTGAAAAAAGGCAGACAAAGGTCCCTAGAGAACTTTCATTCTGGCTGGGGAAGATAGACAATTAAATCCAAGAGAAGAGATCAGGTGTGAGTAATTTTTGATAAAGGGTAGCAAAAAAAAAAAAAATTCAGAGCATGAATTGTTGCCTATAAAAGGAGACTTCATGTGGGTTACTGCATTAAGGGGTACCTGGGCAGCCAGAGCATGCTACAAAGGTATTGGGCACAAAAAAGGGACAATGTTTAATTGAAGATGATAAGTCTTAGATAAAAACTGTCCTTACCTACAACTTTGGCTAGCAGTGGCCCTGATCTGTGTGTGGGATTTTCCTAGGCTTCTATTCTACATAGCCACATGGAGAGTAGTATTTAGGTGCTTCTTTTTCCATTTAAACTTGGTACTACATGTGTGGTCGGGGAGTCTGGGGGAGGGCAGACTTCTTAGGAGTTTGGAGAAGTGGTCAGATACTGACACTGCACCAGGGGAGATAGAAATAACAGGCATCCCCAACCTTGCTCTTCTTTCTCCTCTTTCTTTCACAAAAAGGTGTCTCATTGTCTGCAATGAGTTAAATATAATTGTTTTCCAAGTTGGGGGACTAAAGAAGCTGCTTAGCATGCAGATAGTCTTCACAGTTTAAGACAATAAAGAAATAAAGAAAAAAATCAGAGTACTGAAAGTGAGAATTTTTGCTTAACGTCAATTCTGTCTTCCAAACTCCTTTATGAAGGCTGTGCATATACCGTGGCGATGTGAATGTCTGGAAGTGCTCAGAGAACGCTGAGTGGTAAGTTTGTATGATGACCTACCTACAGCATAAGATACATGTTCTGTCATTGGTAGAACTATGTTGCTTTTCTTCCACTTTCATTTCCTCCAATAAAGAACGGTTATTTTTCATAATGCCATGTCACAGAGAGAAAGCAATATGGCTTCTTTAGAAGGTTTTTTTTTTTTTGGTTTTGTTTAAGAAACATTAATGTGGGTTTTATTTAATGCAGCCTTTACTGAACAAAGAACATTTGCTTTTGCATAAACCTTCAGTACCTTGGAACTTTGTTTCCTGATTCATTTCATGGCCATTGTCTCATTAGTTATCATAAAATTGCCCCACAAAAACAATTCTGAAATTCGTAAGTACTGTGGCATACCAAGTGAAGCAGAAATGGCCCTTTGTATTCATTGGTTGTAGGCCCAAGGAATGCAATTCAGAACTCAAGATAGCTAAATGCC